AGGCACATTTGATCTCACTTTTCATAGTATTCTCGTTGGCTCGAAGAATCTGTACCTCGTCCTTATGAGTATTATCACCAACATAGTCGTTGAATACGTAATCGTCATCATCATTATTATCATCGTTATTACCTTTAGTATCAAACGTGCGAAAAATAGCAGTTCTCAAATATTTGGTTATAGCATTTAATTCGTATGATCCTTCGGAAATTGTGATTATTTTATCGTCAGTATCGAAGTAGAATTTATTGTTCGCGGAAGTAATATTAGGTATCGCGTTGTACGTTTCGAAATTCGTAAGACCTAATTCGTATTCAGCATTACTTAAATCCAACGCGGGAAAGTAGCTTGCTGTAAGAATGTTGGTTTTTTCAGTTAATGTAAGAGTCAACGACATGGTTGAAACAACGATAAACGATTAACTGAGACAATTTAAACAGTTTTTGCATGATATATTATTGAAAAAATTTTTTCTCCAATTTAACTCCCATAGAAATCGTAGACACAATTGACCACAATTGCTCTGATTTGACTTTTGATAAGATCGATAATTTTACGTCACGCTGCATCCGAGATATCGTTCGAGTTCCTTTGGCGGTCTAAGATTACCAAAACCGTCGAAGTAGACAGCGTTATTTCCTTTTTTCCCATAGGCAACCCAGTGTGTGCCCAAGTTGTCTGAGTCATCGAGATTTACTATGGCGCTTTCATTACAATGTGGTTTCGTTGGTAACGCGTCGCGCATAAGTACACCTCTGAAGAATGGTAAACGTAAAAGGTACGCTGAATGATTCAATTGCTCGTTCGTTATAATACCAGAGAGCGACATTTTAAAAGTCTCTAAAGTCTTTTTCCACGACTTCTTTTTTACGCTTTCTTTTTGGTTTTCTTCTTTATACCACTACCACATTTATATGGTGCTAAATATAGACCACGACCTTTCTTGCGATCGTTTACAGTTGTCGCCACGCTTGCTGCCCCACTGATCAAAGATCCGAACGCGCCTAACATTGGTATAATCGGTAGGAAGCCTCCACGTTTCGCTACCGGAAGCGTTCTATTTCTTTTTATCTTTTTTCTCTTGCGCATACCCATACCTAGTTTTGTTTTCGTTTTCATAGCTACCCATATAGCAGTCGCGGCAGTTTTTTCACCAAGCGTCGAATCGCTCGCTGTTATACGCTGACGTGCTTTTTCGGTGAGAATTCGATCGGCAATGTGTCGGTCGGTGAGATTATTGTTTTGTGAATAAGCGATATCGTGTTTACAACACGCTACGTCCAATGGATTGACACCTCGATCGCCACGTGTTAGTCTTTTCGCGAGATGAGTGCCGGGTCCACAAAATTGATATCCAGGTATGTGTAATTCAAACGGAAGCGCGTTTATCGTTCTATTAAGTAGACCTGCACCATACGCATAGGTCATTCCCTGGTATATCTTCTTTTATCGTATACGAGAACATTCGTTGCAATTTTTTATAAGAAGTGGTGAACCGTTTATATGTGTTCGTTGCGATGGAAGTTGTAACGCTTCAAACACAAGCGGCAACGTTGTACCTCAGGATACACTTTTAAATGTTCAGGTAATCGATCCCACAACGGCTCCACGTAATCCTCAAAGTTTCGAAGAAGAACGATTTTCGGTATGTATTGCAGTTGTTCAGCGGTAAAATCGAGAATTGCACGTTTGTTTGGTAGTAGTGACAGAAACATTTTTGTGAAATAAAAAACCACTTCAATCCGCTCTTGTATTTATACCTACACAGTATGAATCGATTGTTTGCTCGGGAGGGTATAAGTAGTCTGATGAATGATTCGCTCGCGTTTCGTTGAAGTTCGCGCATGCTCGCAGGATACGTGAGTAAATGCGATTCGTACGACAATCAAAAACGATCGGAGTATCGAATCTCGACCGTAAGACATTACTGATGTCAGGTGAAACGGCTAGAAAGATTTACAGACACGGTCATTTACTACCGAACACGATTCGTTGCATTATTTGCGGACCATCTAATTGTGGTAAAACGAACGCTTTGATAAGTTTGATAGAAAGTCCACATGGAGTACGTTTCGATAACGTATACGTGTATTCAAAATCCCTGTTTCAACCGAAATATCGATATCTGGAAAAATTGTTCAAATCAATAAACGGTATCGACTACTACGCATTCTCCGACAATCGTGACGTCATACCACCGAAGAAGGCCCCTTCCCAATTCAATATTCATATTCGACGATGTGGCTTGCGATAATCAGAATACTGTTAGAGAATATTTCTCTATGGGTCGACATATAAACATCGATTGCTTTTATCTCTTTCAGACATATGCAAAAATACCGAAGCATTTGATCCATGACAATGCGAATCTTTTGATTTTGTAAAAACATGATGGTACCAATCTGAAACACATCTATAACGATCACGTAAACACTGATATGTCATATGAAAATTTTTGTACATTGTGTCATTTATGTTGGCAACGCAAATACGGTTTCGTAGTGATAGACAAGGATAGTACATTACATAATGGTAGATACAGACGAGGATTCGACTATTTCACTGTAGTGTAAAAATGGATGCAGATACGATTTTATGAGAGACAGACAAGGATAGTGTATTGCGTAACGATGATACATAGACGGCTTCTCTGTAATGTTTGAAGAAAGTGAACAGTACTTCTTCGACGTTATGACAAGATGGACAGTACGAAAAAAAGTATCGCTGAACGAGAGAGAATAGCGAAATTAATTGCAAAGACACGTGTGTCGATTCGTAAGAAACATTGAGCATTGAAAACTGACATAATGGAAAATGAAATCGCTCTGGAGAAACGATTTAAACCTATTATCGAACCGTTGAAACAAATCGTTGAAAACACTGAACGTGAATATAAATCATTTGAAATTGACGAAGTAATGGAGAATAATAAACAAAAGAATAAACGTGAGCATACCGACGATGACAATGATGATGATGATGATGATGATGATGATGGTGATTACAATGACGGTGATGATGGAATTTCAACACAGATTACTCCACAGCGTCCTCTATTGAAGAAACAAGCAAAAAAATGATCAAATATAATTCATTCCACACCGATAGAATCGCAACAACAACAACAACAACAACAAGTATCTCCTTTCGAACTAGAGGATAAGGAAGTTTTTGAGGAAATCGATGACGATCCATCGCTTGAAACGTCTGTCAGACAGATTTTAAATACACCTCAAGGTCGTAACAGGTTGTACAGTCAGTTAGGATCGTTGGGACAAATATACGTGAATACCTTACTAACTGCAGATAAAAGAAACGAAATCGATCTTGTTTATTTCAATGAAAACGGTACGATGTTAGGCAATAAAAATTTTGACATAGATTCGGATGATACTATAATCATAGATGGAGTGAGGTATAAAGGTACCAGGTTTATACGAGTTGATCTTCAAGAGGATTCCAAACGATGCTATCTACACCGAGAATGATAGACAAACATACAAACATATATTATTATCGACGAATGCTCACAAACGTCACCATAACGCTTGAATGCCTATTAAAAGTAACAAGGGTCACAAATACAAATACATTATCGCTCCGCTCGTAGGTGCTCATAGAACCGGTAGTAGGAGGATTGGTTAAGGTATAAAAAGAAAGATGAACATACCATCGGCTGCGAAATTGACAAACAATGAAATAGATTACGTTCATTAGGATGATCCCAATGAGTTGGTGGACCGTCTTCAATTGCTCGATGCTTCTCGTCGAGCAGGTAACAATCCTCACGACAACGAAATATTGTCAATAATCGAAGAACTTCGCGAAAGCAGGATTTTTTATATTGTTATGCCCGTCCGTGCGTCTCGTTCGTCCGCGACAATCATCTCGCGGAATCCGCACTCCCGAATCGCAGAAATAATGTACTCGAGAGTAAAAAAGGGTAACTAGATGTTTATTCAGTTACAGTGCACTAATAAAATACAAATCAGCCCAATAGCTCGTTTATATCTTGCGTAGAGAGAAACACGTCCGTACGTGACGAAAACTCTCCTTGAAATCGTTTAACAACAACTCCGCGCTCGTCGCCAAGCGACGCGCTCTTCATTCCTCAGGAACGTGTAACGGGCGACGATACAACTCGGGCATAACAATATAAATTAAATCGTTACAATGAACATTTCAACAGTATTTAAATTTATGTGAGATCAATATGATATACGATGACAATGTCTGTAAACAAATTTGGTATGCAAATGAGGAAAGATAATTATGATGAAATCGAAAAGTCACAATTGTCGATCGAATCTTTACATTACATACGCAACAACGGACTCTATCTAAATCCGGATCACTACGATGCAAAGGAACGAAAAATCGAACATGTTGCCGCACCGGAGTTCGATACTGACGCTGTAAACAAACGTTACATCGAACGTACGATTCGAGATTCAAGAAACGAGATCGAGAAAATGTTTAAGACGCTAGGAAACGATATGATTGTCCGTGCGCTTCAAGGTACGAACGAAAAGGTCTCGGAAATGGAAAAGAGTTTGAATGTGCTTAAAAACATGATGACGATTGAATCATTAAAAGAAATGGTACTGGATATGATTGAAAAATCGGTGAAGAGGATAGGTCACGAAATGATTGTAAGCGCGCTTAAAAATATGATGATGAATGTAGCGTTGAAGACAACGATACCGGATATGATTAACAAATCAGTGCAACCGATAGGAAACGATATCACAAAGATGAAAAAAGACATCGCAAAAGTACAGAACGATACGAAAAAGTTGTTACGAGATGCGAGAAAGGATACATCGAAAGTGTGAAACGATGTGGAATAACCTTCGAAAAATGTAACCTTGCAATCGGAAAAGATATATAAAGAGATCAACGTGAGATTTGGAGAGATCGTAAGCTTTGATTGCTCGATCAAAAGTTCTCCCCGTATGAGGCAATACTTCATGTCAAATTAAAAGAAAAAAAGAAAGGGGATGAGTATCGAGAAACGAAAACTTGTCGAAGAACTTCACGCATCGGAGCGAAGAAATTTTCCACGTCGTCGCGTCGTGGTGCACGATCGTGATGATTTATGGCAGGCTCATGTAGGCGAGATGCGTCCTTATGCGCGATTCAGCAAAGGTTACAACTACATTTTAACAGTTATCGATGTATTGAGCAAGTATGCGTGGCCAATAACACTCAAAAGTAAGAGCAGAAGCGACGTAACCGCAGCATTATCTAGAATATTTCGCGAAGACGAGCGATACCCACGCAACCTGCAGACGGATCAAGAAAAGGAATTTTACAACACCACTGTGCAGAAAAAAATTGTGAAGAAGTACAACATTGTTACGTCCGAACTGGCGTGTTTGTCGCGATTGTTGTGTTTCGAGACGCGGCATAAATCTCGTGGAACGCGGACGCGGAGCGGGGGCGCGCGGGGCGAAGCCTTAGCTTCTACAGAAATGACGTTTTCCTAACAGTATTGGGGCAGGCTGCTGTCACCAGTGCCTTTCGCATCGGCACGAAATCTTAATGTTATTCTGAGTTTCGCGGGGAGGCTTTTATCTTGTACTGGCTCCTTCGAGGTCCTTCGTAGAGAAACTGTTACAGTTAATGAGATCTTGTAATTGAATATAAGGATGGGGCCGATAGAAATCCACAAGTATCTTTCGGGTGCACACGAGTAAATATATAAGTTTAATCACACAATACAGAAGTACAGAACGTAAAAAGAGTCACAGACAGATAATAGAGTGAAGGACGAACATAATGTAGTCGACAAAAAGGGGGGGGGGGGCGCACGCACAAAGGAACTGGGGAATATGAATGCCGCCAATGAATGTATCTTAAAGTCCCTAGTCAAAGCGCGTCACGATTCCTCTCTCTCTCCAACAGAAACAATTCGGAGAATCAAAGGAGTTTTCAGATTTTGTAAGCGCCCATGCGTGCTGTGAGCACTTGTAACATGGAGATTATAATCTCTCGAGAGGGCAGCTGTATGTATGTTCATCATACACTCGCTCTATCTACTTTCTCCGTTTCTGTGAAGGATCTGGAAGGGGTAAAAGTAAGAGATATGACTTTATGATTCTATTATCTTTAAGTTATAATTACGTGAATTTGTTATTTTGGTATAAACATAATAAGACGAACAAAAAGGAGGGAGAGGTTGTGGAGGCCTCGACGCCGATGAAGGCGCTCGTTGAGCTCCACGGGGAAGGTGTGCCTCGTCGACGCGCCTGGATAAGCCGCGTTTGGAGTCACGGGTTAGGATGGCTTTAACGACGCCTGGAGAGGCGCACGGTTAAGGCCGGATTTTTTGGGGTTACATGGGAAGTCGCTTACGCTCAATGTAAGCGCGGTATTCCTACCTTAGCTCTAGTCGGATAGGAGAGAATAGGAAGAACAGGAACCGAGTCTGTGTATGCGCTCGTTTATATCGTGGCCCCTCGCGGTAAGGAGATGTTCACGTCCTCGTGTTATTGCGAAATCTCTATGTGTGCCGATTATGTTATTAGCGATTTATTCTAATGATGATTATATTTTAGTTAGTTTGTGCCTACGATTTCGCTGCAGGGGTCGCGAGGTTCGTACTGGCGCGCTCAGTCGTCGCGTACTGCAGCCCGTTGCGGCAGAACTTGCATCTGTTCTTTGTGTGTTTCTTCATCATGAATTTTCGTATTGTTCTGGATCTTTCCGTGCTTTGTGCTTGTGGAATTCGAGTGTTTATTTAAGGGTTTTTCTAAGTTACGTGCGCTTCGATTTTATTCGCGATGATTTCTCTCGCATTCAGGGGCCTTTTGTGACCGGTGGGTGCATTCATGGTTACGCGGCGATGCATTGCGTTGGTGTTATGCATTTTTATTAATTTTCCGTAGGTCTGCGGGTTTTCCCTGCAGCTGCGTCAAGGTCGGTTGTTATCTTTAATTATTCCTTATCCCGTAGTATCGATGGTTTGTTGTAAAAGTGCATTCTTGCATTGGTTTTAGTATTTATACTTTGGCGCAGGCGCAGTGTGCACGGCGTTCGAACGCGACGGTGACTTGGCCTATAGCTGTACGCGCTTGTAGTCGGCACGTATTATATTGGTTCGCTATATTCCGTGCTCGCGCTCGCTTGGTAAACAGACGGGGCGCTATATTGTAGGCGCACCGGACGTTACAGTATCTATTATAGACAGAAGATTATTATTACTTTCATCACAGTTGATTGAGTGAGAACGCAGAGATAAAAGTATATATATGACGACGATGAGATAAGAGGTTGGTTCGCGTCGCATGCTCCAACATACTCTTACTTCCTCCCAACAGTAGCTCCTACTCACTCAACGCGCACGTTAGAATGAGTAGGAACTACGGTTAGAGGAAGTAGGAGCATGTTGAAGCAAGCGACGCGAACTAATCTCTTATCTCATCGTCGTGATATATGTACTTCTATCTCTGCGTTCTTACTCAACTGTGATGAAAGTAATAATAATCTTCTGTCTGTAATAGAATGCTGATTAAGTTAATATACAATAGTTCGTGTTAATTTTAATAATTGCAGTAATATGAAGAATGTAAGAAATAAAAATAATTTATGTAATTGCCAACTAATACAACGCGAGATACTTCACACTACATAGGGCGACTGTTACCAACGCCGATTAACTTAATATAATTTACATTTTATTACTATACATCACAATTATAGCTAAATCCATAATATATAAAAGTTAGGATATTATAGTCGATTATTAAGTTAATCGGCGTTGCTAACAGTCGTTATTAGAATACTATAAATGTAGTGTAATTATAATAATATTACAGTAATATAATGTATGTATCTATTATAGACAGAATATTATTATTACTTTCATCACAGTTAATTGAGTGAGAACGCAGAGATAGAAGTATATATATGACGACGATGGGATAAGAGGTTGGTTTGCGTGGCATGCTCCAAAATGCTCTTACTTCCTCCCAACAGTAGCTCCTACACACTCAACGCGCTGGTTAGAATGAGTAGGAGCTACAGTTAGAGGAAGTAGGAGCATGTTGAAGCAAGCGACGCGAACAAACCTCTAATCTCATCGTCGTGATATATATACTTCTGTCTCTGCGTTCTTACTCAACTGTGATGAAAGTAATAATAATCTTCTATCTGTAATGGAATGCTGATTAAGTTAATATAAAATAGTTCGTAATAATTTTAATAATTACAGTTATATGAAGAATGTAAGAAATAAAAATGATTTGTGTAATTGCCAACTAATGCAACGCAAGATACTTCACACTACATAGGGCGACTGTTACCAACGCCGATTAACTGAATCGACGATTAACTCAATCAGCAGTATAGCCAACAAATCTGTATATCGTTCTTAACCTTAGGTTTGTTTGCATCGCATGCTCCAACATGCTCCTTCTTCCTCCAACCGTAGCTCCTACTCACTCAACGCGCTTGTTAGAGTGAGTAGGAGCTACCGTTAGAGAAAGTAAGAGCATGTTGAAGCAAGTGACACGAACAAACGTCTTATTTCTTCGTGATATACTTCTATCTCTGCGTTCCTACTTAACTGTGATCTGCTGATTGAGTTAATCGTCGATTAAATTATTCGACGTTGGTAACAGTCGCCCTTAGAATATTATGAAGTTATTCGTCACTCATAATTTGCCTGGAGTTTCTTGTTGTTGCTGCAGACCTGAAAATTCGCAATCATTAATTTTTAATGTCAAGGATATAATACATATTGTTAAATCCGTCCGTGCGTCTGGTGCGTTACGTCCGTTCGTCTCACGAGATCCGCACTCCCGATCCGCCGAAATGAATCACTCGTGAGTAAAAAGGTAAACAGATGTGTTTATTCACAAACACAGGAATACAGCGCGATACAATCAAGCGTGGTAATCGGATAAATATCTCGCGTAGAGAGAAACACGTCCGTTCGTGACGGAGACTCTCTTTCGAGTTGTTTAACAACAACTGCGCGCTCGTCGCCAAGCAACGCGTTCTTCGTTCTTCAGGAACGTGCAACGGCCGACGACTCATCGCAGGCGTAACGGACGACACGACTCGGGCATAACATTGCCCTCCCTCTTATAAATTGTCGTCCCGACAATTCCTGTAGATTAAGAAACGCTCAGGCTCGAAGAAATTCTGGGGTTCCCACCAGCTTCCCGCTCCCTTACTGTGCTGCTGCCACAGTTTTTTTCAGAGCACTGGATTTCCTGGGATTTTCCCTGAGGCCTCCTGATCTTCCTCCTTTCTGAGCAGGACCCCTCTTCAGTCCCTCGGAGGGTAGCTAAGCCTCCGGAGGAACACCAGCCGGGC